TTCTGTGCAAGCTAATGTAGTTTGCCTCAAAGAATGTAGATTCTTTTGATTATGTGATGGTTTAAATTTTGCAAGAAAAAAGAACCCCGTTTACTTTTTCAATTTTGAGGTGATTTTTATTGTAGAAGGAACATAACTTCATCCTTTTCCTCTTCCACATGTGAACTCCTATTTGGTGCTTTTCAAGGCAATGAATAAAACATATGAACTCCTAATTGATGCTTTTCAAGGCAATGAATAAATTGAAATGGATTACTTAGGCCGTGCTTGGATATAAACATTTCCAATTCACTTTCAATCCAACTCAAAATCTTACTCAATTAACTTAGTTCTACATCTTCAATAATATCAATATAATTAAATAATACCAATCAATTATTCTTACAAATCACATCAACTTTAATTCATTATTCATCAACTCTCATAATTTTAACTAATTATTACTTCACATCATCTCTTCTCTACTTTTAATTAAATTAATTTTAATTATTTTATTTTAATATAAATTTAAAATTTCACTAACAACTAATCATATCACATTTTTTCAATTTAACCTTGGTTTACCAAAAAAAAAAAAAAATCTTTTTTCAATTTAACCTTGGTTTACCAAAAAAAAAAATCATTTTAGACGGAAATTTTTACATCAAGCACGCCCCTAGAGTGCCAAAAGCAGTTGTTGTACTTGGCTCTTGCAGTGCATTTCATCAACGAAATTTCAAGGCCAGTACTAATACAACAAAGGCCATCAAATGCATAAACAAAGTGTGCATTTTACCAACAAGATTTCAAAACAAAGACCAAACGACAAAACACTGCCTAAGCAATTAACCTCAGATTAAAGATAATTTATCATCAGCAAGGCCACTCGAACCCGGGTGGCGCATCGTGATTGCTATTATTACTACTATTGCCATCACTCGAATACGACCTCCCTCTTTGCATCTGACCCAGCTGAGGTGGCAGCACAACTGTCGGGTCCACAAAATTCCTGCCTTGCCCCTGCTCAACACTTGTACTTGCCGCCATTTGAGGGGCGTTAAAAGGCATATTAACCGTATTATGCCCGAAATCACCCTGAAAGAATCCTCTGCCTTGCGGGTCGGTATTCACAAACCCATCTGTGGGCCCCAAGGGAGGCTCCAGAGGCACGGTAGCAGGGCCCATTTTCCACGGCTGATGGTAATTTGGTGGGAAGGTAATGGGCCCAGCAGGCCGTGGAGGGTAGCCCAGCATCGAGCCCTGTCCTGAATTTGGATTAACTGGTGAAAAAACAATTTACAAGATCAACATAAATTCATTACGAGCTTCAAGAAAAAGAGACTCATTTATTAGTTTTAGAGCTTAGTTACAAAAATAAAAAATAAATCCCGAGCTTAACCTAATTGTATAAAACCAAGATTTGTATTTTCAAAGGTACAATGACCCCCCTTTCAACATGTAAATGCGATGTTTAAAGGTATACATATTTTGTATACATTTTCTTTTACCTTTTTGAAACTAGTATTTCGATATAATCCATAAATTTTAGGCTTTCTCATGAAGAAACTGACCCGAGTCCTGACGGTTTTGTGTAGCAGCCCTATCAAACCCGTGCAACTGATTACTAGTCCGGGGATGTTGTTCTGATGGATGATTTGGGCCTTGACCGGAAAAATTTGGCATGGGCCTCAGCTGCATGGCAGGCCTGGAAAGCGGTGGGTCCCTATTCGGAGGACGCTGCTGGTTTTTGTCTTCATGATCGTTAACCTGAGAATTCAAATGGGGAGAAAAAACCGGCTTTAAAGGCGCCTGAACTGTAGTCTCAGAAGCCGAGGCTTTCCGGGAGCTTATGGCCTCTGATGACTCGTTCACTTCCTTTTCCCAGTTGGGGTTAATGAGGTCAACGTGGGCCCCACGGATGTGCGACTCGAATTCAGTCCTCTTCAAGAAGGACTTGAGGCAGTGAGGTGCAGCGCATATGAATAATCCTTCCATCATTTTGATAGTTTGAATCTTTTGAACGCGTTCATCACATCTAAATTTTACCACAAGATGAGTAACAATTAAACTGTTGATAATGTAACTATCCGAATGACAATGAATTACTGTAAAAGTTTTAAAATATGCCTTACAGGTAGCAAAGGGAATCGCTTCTAGCACAGTCCAAACAGAAGGCATGCTCACAGGGGCTCTGCAGTAATAATAAAATAAGTTTTCAAATGCACTGGTTAGAAAAAAACTCATGTCACGGTATGTTAAGAAAAGCTCGTCTATTTTTTTTCCAGTATTGCTTCAACCAGACAAAATGCCAATCCTTATACCATGAAACTAGAGCCTCATTCATCTTTCACAGTATGGCATAAAAAGATCCTAATATTTCACAAAGTTCACATTGTCAGTTAATCGTACACCCAAAACATGTTTTTGTAGGTCAGCCAAAGGCAATTCTTACCAAACGCCCATAGATAGCAATTGGGAAGTCACACCGGACACAAAAATGAACGCGCTCACCAAGCTGCCGACGAGACCTCCGACCAACATTCTTGATAACAGCAGCTGAACATGGCAAACCGAGACTTTTGGCCACAGGAAGATCAGCTAAGACAAGATGATCGGGACATGCAACTGTGACAGTATCTACAGACGAAGGTTTCACATTCGCACCAACGCTTTCACTTACTGGTTTACTCAGCCGAATCTGCAGCATCTTCTTGTAGCTCTAACTGTTTCAACTTTGTACTTATAGATAGGTGTTGATCTTCGTCCCAAGTTAACTGCGGAAATGTGAATAAATGACTGTAAATGATTTCACGTGATATTTCAACCTCATTTCATACAATTTTAAACTGATCAGCTACAAATGAGAACCCCGAGCTAAATGAACTCTTGAGCAACTACATTTCTGAAAAAACGGGCAGTAAACATTCCACTAAATTATGCTTGCCATACAATATCAAACTCACCCATACAAGTACATTCTGAATCCAAGTGCAAATTAACTACTATAAAAATGATTCGGAAACCGAACAATGGGACAGCTGCAAATCAGTATTATGGGATAACAGATTTAAAAAGCAAAAGAAACCACCTTTGAAAAAATCGCTTGGAAATCACAAAAAAGCAGGAAAACTCAGCGCCCCAGATCTCAAATCACTTGATTGAATTTATAACCGCAATCTAAATCGAGGGCACATCAGATAAACGCACAAATCAGAATGAACCAGTTTGAATAACGTTAATCAACCTTCTGAACGAGAAACAAATGCTCATATTTCTTACAGAAACAATAAACGAAAAAAAAAAATTACCAGTAAACAAGTTAATCGGAGAAATTGTCTCCGCCTAAAACCCTAGAGCGCAAATCAGAGGATTTGGGGGAAGAAAGAAATTCAATAGCAAGAGATGATGGATCAAATCTAATTTAGTCTGCTACGTATATTGGGCTCAAGCTCTTGGTTTAGGCCCAAACAGATCAAATTTAAAAATGTTACTAATTTTGTTATTTTACAAAACATTATAGAGAAAATTGCATAATCTACTAAACATTTATAACATTATTGCACATTTACCACCCTTATATATTTATTAGCAAAGTAACTAAAATTATTATATTATTTGCATATATACTAGAAGTTGGTTTGAATAGGTAACTCCCATTATATGGTCTCTCTCTCCTCCTCATCCCTCTCTCTCGTCTTTACACGCCATATCCATGGCGAAACTTAAACTCTGAAGCCCAAATTGTAGCAGCCCAAAAAACCATACTCCCCTGATTGAATTAATTCGATCGTAAAAAATCTGTTTTCTCTTCCGATGTCAACAAGAGATAGAGATTGCGAGTTTAGCAAGTTTTTGAACACCACGGTGGTGACGTCATACGGCTCATGGGAACAAGCTATGGTTTGGATCTCTCCGTACACTTTCTCCGTCATCGGAATCACCATATCCATCGACGTCTCAGTCCTCGGCGCCGTATGGTATCGTATATTCTCATACTCGTGCTCTGTTTTTTCCTTTTTTTTTTGCCTGATTATTTTGGGTTTTTGGAAATTGTTAGGGGAATATATATAACATTGAGGTGTCCTATATTTCCGATGAGAACGCAAGAGAGGATCCAGAGATTCGAATCACAATCAAAGACGACGGCCGATCGACAAGAGATTGAAGTGATGCCGCCGCTGGTGATGGAGCTTTGGAGAGATGACGATGGACTTATGTCGGGATATATTCTAATGTGTTTTCTGTATATGTTCTGTATATATTCGGTATATAATGACAGCACGAGCGATCAATATATATCTTCTGTATAGATTCTAATGTATTTTCTGTATATCTTCTGTATATATTCGGTATATAATGACAAGATTGATTTATCTTCTGTTGTGTATTTTATTTATGTCGTATGTATATAATGAGTATATCTTCTGTATATAATCATGATCGTGTATTTTGTATGTATTAAACCAGAAAATATACTATAAATATACAGAAAAATCACGATATGTAAATAACACAAAAGGTAAACAAAAAAAAATCGAAAAGAAAAAATTACCAAGTGTATTTCGTATAGTTTTCAGAATCGTTTCAGTTTGAATTGAACAATATCCTAGATATTAGGATATATACACTTGCCATAAATTGTTCCATTATTTTACCAAAACGGTAAACTTATAATCCCGCAATTTAAGCAGACTTGGTATAATTTTTTGGGGTAACCGCTATCTTGCATTTTCACAAATAAAATACAACCCTTCGCATTATTGCAATTATTATTGATTCACTGTGTATATATTAAATTATCCAGATATGGCTATATTTGATATTCAAATAAGCTAGCTTATAAATTATTTAGTTAATTTATAAAATTCCTCTATTCAAATAAGTTTCGTTTGGTAGGACGAACTTTTTACAAAAACTCGAGTTTATCTCATAAGTTTCTTTGGGTAGCTTTTCAAAATAGCTTGTTGAAATTGTCATTTCATTTAGCTTATCAGCTAATTTTACCAAACATTTTTAACATATAAGCTATTTTTTCAATTGTAATTCATAATCTATAAGTTATATGCTCTAAAATCACTTATCAGCTATAAGTTTAGTAAACATTGTTTATAAGCTGATAACTTATGACTTATGGTTGAAAAACTAGTTTATATGATAAAAACATTTGGTGAAATTAGCTAATAATCTAGTTGAAATAAAAATTTCAACTGACTTATTTGAAAAACTACCAAGAAAGATTATGAGATAATCGAACTTTTAAACAAAGTTTGTCCTAGCAAACTAAACTCATTTGAATATAGAAAACTTATAAACTAGCTTAAATGCCTTATAAACTAGTTAAAAAATGCTTACGAAACGCATCCTATACTATCCCATCATCTTATTTTTATTTTTCAATATCAATACAATATAAGAGAAACAAAAACCCATCATTATTATAAAATGCACCATCCATCAATTATAAATTTTAGTACAGACTTACTGGTTTATTGTTACTTTCTAGTTAACCCATTTCTGGGGGTGTTGTATTGAAAAAACTTATACTTTCTGATATATATATGGTTGGCATCCCACAATTACTTTCTAAGAAACTTTTCAAGAAGCGACTCATCCCGCAATTATTCCAAACCCAGCACATTAAACTTTGAAGATGTATTGAACATTTGAACTATATAGAGAAATAATGGATGCTTGTCAAAACTCAATTTGTGTAAATCATTTAATGTATATTTTCGTTAACTCAATCTGTAAATCACTACTCATATGACTCATATGACAGATAACAGAATAATTTCTCAACAAAATATCAAAAAAAAAAAAAAAAAAAAAAAAAGTTTTTCATTCAAAAGCCATCAAATTTCTACCAACATATCCAAGCAAAAAACAAAAAAAGTTTAGTTTTTCATTCAAAAGCCATCAAATCCCAAAACAATCCCATCTCATTTCTCAATCGTCCGACTCCAATTCTTCCATGCCGGCATACTCGTAAAGCCTCTCGTTAAACTCCACTTGTGGATCCTTACCGACGAGCTCACCATCCTCATTATAACAATCTTTCAAGAAAACACACCAATTCATCTTCGTCCCACCTAAGTAAAACGTGCTCGGTTGCTTCAAGAGCATTTCATACGTACGTCTCGTGAGGCTCAACTCATCCTTAAACTCCACAATGTTGTGAATGTAAGCCCTTTTTTCCAATGTCAAGCTCAAGAACTCGTGCACGACCCCACAACGATACTTCTCGGCTTCCAAAGTCCAATAATCGAGCTTTTTCCCGTCCGAGTAAGGCGAGACCAAAGGCAACGAGTTTAGCACGTTCAATTTTCGCTCGTCGTCTAAATCGAGCTCCAATGACTTGACGTGTTTCAAGGGAAACCGGAAAGCTCGTTTCGCCTTATCCTCATCGGCCATGAACTCCTTCTCTAAAGAACTCACGGCCAACGAGCTGTCCCAGTCGACTAATTCAAGAATGCGCTTGCCATCTTCCTCGACGATGATTCGGAAGAAATCGGGGTAATTTGCAACCCGGTCTCTGAAATCCTCTGGAATTCCGAAAAGGGCACGGTTGTGGTAGATTTTGCTGAGGGGGATTCTATTGTTAGCGGACATCATCAGTAGTTTACGGACGACGGCGACCCTTTGGGGCTCCATTTCGTCGGCGATTTGCCGTTCCTCGATTAGCAGCCGGTCCATGAGGTCTGTAAACCCTAGCCACATCTTGTTGTCGGTGTGGCGGTAGGTCTGGAAGATGAGTGGGTGGCGGAGGATGGATTTGAGGACTTTGCGGCCACGGGGGAAACCGAGCTGCTGGTGGAGCTTGCCGGCGTCATCGAGGCGGAGGATTTGGTGGGGCTGTTTGGAGAGGTATTCCTTGGTTTTGGTGAGGAATCGGAAATGGGAGTCGCGGCGGAGGAGGGATTCGAGATGTGGGATGAGGTTGGGCTGGGTCTGGACGGGCTGGGTCCGAGGGCTCTCGTTTTTCTTGCGTTTTTTGCGGAATTTTTTGGGGGTTTTGGTGACGAGGAAGGAGGTGGAGAAGTGGGCGGCGGCAGCGGGGAAGAGTAGGCGGCGGGGGTTGTGGGCGGCGGGGCGGGTTTTGATGAGGAGGTCGAAAATGGCCATGAGCGGAGAGAGATGGTGGTTGGTGCTGGAGGATGGTGGCGCGGCCGCAGACGGCGGCTGCGGGGGAGGTGGAAGGTATTATGGAGATGGGCTTATTGGGCTATTCTAAAGCATAAGCCCAATAGATTTTGCATTTTAATGTCGGCCTTTGGAGGAGAAAGGTTGACTGAATGACTGTCTTGACCTAATCTAAAAAGAGCCGCTCCTGAACAAAAACAAATTGAATCAGCTCCACTCGCTAAGGTTAAAAAGAAGAATTTTCATGTAACTCGACTTTTTAATATTCACAAATAAATGAAGCTCAAGCTTATAGAGGCTGGTTTAGTCAATGTAGTGTGTGAATGCAACAAACTGCCCTAATCTAAAAGAGTCACTCCTTGTATCGAATTGGATCGGCTCGACTCATTAAGTGTTAGAAAGAAGAATTTTTATAAAATTCGACTTGTTATTATTAACAAAATCAAGCTCAAGCTTTTATAGACTCGTTTAGTTAATGCGGCGTGTGAATGCAACAAATTGATTGTCTTTCCCTAATCTAAAAGAACCACTCCTAATAACGAATTGGATCGGCTCGTCTGATCGGCTCGACTCGTTAAGGTTTAAAAAGAAGATCTTTTATGTAACCCAACTCGTTAATATTGATAAATAAACTAAGCTCAAGCTTTTATAGACTCGTTTAGTTAATGCGGCATTCTACTCATTATGGATTAAAAAGAAGAATTTTTATGTACTTCGACTCGTTAATATTGATAAATAAATCAAGTTCAAGCTTTTACAGGCTCATTTAGTTAATGCGGCATGTGAAGGCAACAGATTGACTCTTGCCCTAATCTAAAAGAGCAACTCAGGATATCCAATTTGATTGGTTTGACTAGTTGAGGGTTAAAAAGAAGAATTTTTATGTTACTCAACCCGTTAATATTGACAATTAAATCAAGCTCAATCTTTTATAGGCTCGTTTAGTTAATGCGAAATCAAGCTCAATCTTTTATAGGCTCGTTTAGTTAATGCGACTCTGCTCGACATAGGTTCAAACTCTAATTCAACTCAACTATACCTCTATAGATAGTGTAAGATGGGTTAGAAAAAGTTATTGCAATCAAAATATCTGATCGTTTGTCATCTCCATAATGTCACTATAGTTTGTGATGCCAAATTGCCAAGAACAATTGTATCAACTTATAATACTTCAAGAACATGGTTTTGTTGCATAACATATATTTGGAAGTTGGCAAGAATTATCTTTCTGCTTCAAGAATTTGAACACTTTTTCCATTGAAGACAAAATAGACGAATCAGTTTGTGGCTTGTATATCTTGTACATTAAAAAAAATAAAAAATCCTACTTCATAAATGATTCTAATTCCACCCTAAATTAGGTCCATATAATATTAGGACTATTATTTTCATCAAGCATTGTTAATTGAGCTGACTAAATTTCACATTCCTGCGCATAAAATCTCCTGACATTTAAAGATATGAAGTAAACATGCTATTGCAAAACTATCTCACAAGTCTCAATATAAAGAAAGCTGTGTTTTTTTCAGAACCAGTGACGATGGAGAAAAAGAGAAATTCTCATTACATAAGATTTCAGAAACCGAAACAACAATAAAAATCTAGATCGCTTGACTTTGTGCAGCCAACAAAATCAACATGAGCCCATTAACTGCAAAAAGAAACCACACAAGTTTCGATTGGAATGAGCTGTTGGTAAATGAAACAATCAACGTACCTAAGACTATATTTGGTAACCAAATAAGCTAACTTAGATAGCTTATTTGGTTAGCTTATATAAGCTTCCAATATTCAAGCAAGCTCTGTTTGATATGACGAGCTTTTTTAAAGAGTTCGAGCTCATCACATAAAGAAGTAGTAGCTTTTCAAATAAACTCGATGAAATTTTTATTTCAGCTAACTTTACCAAACAGTTTTATCATATAAGTTAGTTTTTCAGCTATAAATCATAAGCTTTAAGCTTGAAAATCACTTACAAACTATAAACTAATTTATCAGTTAGTTTCACCAAACATAGCATAAATCTAAACTAAACGGACCAAGAGACGAAAACACACTTTAACGGTAGTTGGAAATATAAAGTTATGCATCAAGCACAAATATCTAAATATAGATAAGCTAAAGCAATCCAAGAGAACCTAAGAAACATGATCTTATACACCACGATTTTATCCAGAATATATAAATTTCCTAACCACTTGTACAGAGACATGAGATTAAGGAAATCACATATATTCAACTCTTAAAATTGGAAAACACATCATGGTACAGTCTAAGTTTCATATGCATCACAGTGTCCAAGCCAACAAAGACCCAATAGGCAATAACACGACTATATAGACTCCAAATGCAAATTAACTACATTAACACAATAAGATCCATGACCTTAACTATACAACAAATCTCTACATAACCTATAAAATTCTGAAACCATTTGTAGAGATAACAAGAAATTAAGGAAATTGTACAAATACAACTACGCAAACCACATTAAGGAAAGGATCAATCCACTTACGCAAAAACTAACTAACTCCAAATTTATCGAAACTCGTAGAATTGTGAAATGGAAATGCACCAGAACAACAAGCTATCATTCGAACATCAATATGGCTAAAATGTAACCAGCATAAATCAACAAAAAACTTTAACAGCCCAACAAATGGAGTTCGAGATTTCACCTCAAATGTTGCTCGGGTACATGAAGACTCTCACTCTATCACCCTGTTTCCACAGATTCATAGCCATAAGCACAAACGAGAATCTCAACAAGAAAAAAACAAACAGAACAACAAAAAAATGAAAACTTCAAGTTGACATTGCAGCTCACCATGGATTTCGGTGGGAGATTCGACCTGAACTTGGCGCGAACGACACCACTGTTGCCGTGAGGGCGCGTGACCTTCCCCCAAATGCAGCGGTAGTGAGAGCCGTTCTTCTTCACCTTCGCCTTGTAAATGTACGCCATTCGCTTCCCAAGGTACCACGCCACCTCCTCCTGCGTGTTCACCCCCTCGATCTGAACCAGCGACGTGCTTGGGTACTGATTGGACTTCGACCTAACACCATCACAACACCGCATAAGATCTCGATTCTCAACCAAACGGGGCCTAATTTCAAAAATCCAGCTGAAATTTTCGATTTTACCTTTTGTAGCCGAGGATGGTACCACGGACGTAGAGCCTCACGCGCTCTCCTTGGCGGCCCTTCACCATTTTTGCTCAGAGAAAAAAGCTTCGACGACCTCGAGAAGTGATGGCAGTGATAATAAGCAGAAACCCTAAATGCAAAAGTCAGTGGGCTCGTAATCACACTGTTGGGATTATAGTAAAGCTGTTATTATTGGGCCGAAGGCAACACCTATAAGGCCCAGTGTATTGTTATTGGGCCAAAAGGCCACATCTATAAGGCCCACTGTATTGTTACGAATCCGTTAGAGGAATTTGCATCTAATACATCATATATTATTTATATAACACTTATACGTCCATTTTATTTTTATTTATAAAATAATTAAATCAACCTCAAAATATTACAAATATACCTGATATGGAGCTGCAGCCAATTTAATAATAAGGAAATTACGAACAAATTAAATATGATTAGATCAGTAATTGAAATTAAACCGTTATTAAGATTTTCTTTCCAAAATATCGGACAAAGTTTTTCTCTCTCTCTCTCTCTACAGAAAACCACCCACCGCCTACGTTCTCCATCTCTATGCAAAAACCTTCATCCTTTTCTCAAATTTTCTCAACACGCTTCAGTGACCAAGACTAAAATCCAATGTTCTCTAGTATATCTTGTTCTCAAGTATATGAAATGTTTATTCTCTGTCAAATATATGATAAGTATATGGTCGGTTTATCTCAAGCATATGGAATGTTTATTGTGTCTACACATATTCGT